TCGGGCAATCAGTCCAAATGAAGTGTGATGCTACAGGTGTTTTACCACCTACGATCATCTGGATCTCACCAAGGAATGAGATAATTACCTCATCTTCGGTCAAATACCAAATCCTAAACGATGGGACTCTGATCATAAAAAAACTGACCTTGGCTGATCAGGGAAAGTATGCCTGTGTGGCACGGAACCCAGCCGGAGATTACATCAAGAATGTGAAGCTTCAAGTTGATGTTAATGGACCGCAAATCAATGGACAGAGTGGGCGAACAGAGAACAAAGTTTTAGCAGTGTATTACCAGACACTGCTGCTGGACTGCAAAGCTGAAGGTATGCCTGAGCCACAGGTCACCTGGACCACACCTTATAGCATGTCTCTACCCACCCCATATTTGGGAGGCAGGTTCCAAGTCCACAGGAATGGCACTCTTGAATTGAGGGGCATTCGAAAGACTGATGAAGGTCGGTTTCTGTGCGTAGCCAAGAATTTCTTAGGGGAAGCAAGTCTAGCAGTTGACCTGGAAGTAGCATCACTTGCTGAGAAGCCGAGCTTTTCAGTGCCAAATATAGAGGTTCTTCCTCTCAAACCAGATGGTGATGACATTTCTTTGGAGTGCCGTGCTACAGGAAAACCAAAGCCAGAGTTTCTTTGGATTCTACCCAATGGAACAGCACTGAATCCAGGCATGAAACTTCAACGGTTCACTCACTTCCTGGGAAATGGGACTTTACACATTATGCAACCAGGTGTCATTGACAAAGGTGTATATCGATGCTTGGCCAAAAATGTTGCTGGACAAGGAGAAAAGCGCTATGCTTTAGAACCTGGACAGAAGCCTCAAATTAGAAGTAGTGCTGCTACAATGAAGATTTCATTTGGGCAGACACTGAATATGCCATGTAATGCGGATGGTTGGCCTCAGGCAACAATTACCTGGACTCTTCCAAATGGCCTGGTCTTGGACAAGCCTCAAGTTATTGGAAGAGTAACATATTTATCTAACGGCACACTTCAGGTAAAAGAAACTTCCAAATTTGATAGAGGAACATATACCTGCAAAGCCACAAACACATTTGGATCATCAACATTGTCATATCCAGTGAGTATTATGGTGTTTCCACCTCAAATCACTCATGCCCCACCTTCAATAACCAGAGTTAACAGGGGGTCTCCTGTGATTCTAAACTGCATAGCTGCTGGTATACCCAAACCAGACATTTCTTGGACTCTGCCTGGACGCACCACACTTGTACCCAATAGTCGCTTCACAGCACAGAATGGAATTCACATGACAGAGGAGGGGAATTTGGTGATACAGGACCCAGGCCTCATGAACTCAGGAATTTACAAATGTAATGCTAGAAATGCCTTGGGAACGGACTTCAAAGCAACATACCTTCAAGTGATCTGAGCAATAGACAGAAATCCATTAGATGATATTAGTGCTGCACGATTAATCATATCGCAATCGTAATCGCGATGTCAAGCCTATGCGATTATATGACGCAAAATACTGCGATTTTATATGAAATAAACAAATTAGGGCTGTTAACGCAGCATCTGTTATTTTTTGTCATCCTTTGGCTAGTTACATGATCCCGCTCTTATTCATGCGAATGCCTTAAACCATTCAGCGAGACAAGTCAAAAGAGTATCATGCGCATGCACAGACCGCGCGCCAGAATACAGTTCTCTTTCCACTTGAAGTGAACGAACAATAACACACACAATTATGCCCAAATATCATTTGTCGAGTGTCTTCATAACATAAGAGCAGTCTTATGATGGTCGTAAAGAGTTGTGAGAGAATAAGGCGCGTCTCTGTCAGCAACTCTTAAAGGGCCAGCATCCAATAATGCTTTCTGTCAGTAAAGTTAATCAAAGAACAAAGGGAACAGAGAAAAACACTCACTGCTCTTGACCAAAGAACTTCTGTAGCTTTAAATAGGATTTTAGTCCATATAATTTATAATTTATGCAGCGCAGACTGTTTGATAACTGTTTGATAACTTTGACAAATTCAATTTCTGTATGTGTCCTACCTGTTAGACAGGAAGAGCACATGTAAATATGACATTTATTATGGGTTTATGTGAGGATTGTTTGAAGTTCACTTAAATTAAAATTAAATTATTTTTTATCCGGACATCAATGGCTTATTGATCATTATAGGTGTTATCAATCATTTAGTTGTTGTTGCTAGTTTGAGTTGAGAAATACACATTTCAGAATTGTCACTAATCTGTGTGTGCATTTTGCTTTAGAACCAAGCAAGTTGACTCATGAAACCATTTGTTTATTATATCGCAATCGCATATCGCAATATTGACCTCAATAATCGCAATATGACATTTTCCCCAAATCGTGCAGCCCTAGATGATATAGATGTAACCCCATTTCCAGAAATGTTGGGACCTCTTGTAAAATGCAATAAAATCCACAATCTGTGATTTGTTAATTCTCTTGAACCTTTTTTTAACTGACAAAAGTACTGACGAACTTTTTTTTTTTTTTTTTTATATATATGGCTGCAACACACTACAAAAAAAGTTGGGACAGAGGCAAAATAAAAGTGAAAAGATAATAGAATATCCAAGTTAAACTCTTTTGAAACAGTCCACAATTAGCAGGTGAATTGGTAATAGGTGAGAGTATTGTGATTGGCTGTAAAAGGAGATTATCTGTCTTTGCAAACAAATATGGGTCATGGCTCACCACTTTGTGCCAAATTTCATGAGGGAATTGTCAAACAAATAAAAAAAAAATCACATTTCTCAATGCAAGATTGCAAAGAATTTATGTTTTTCACCATCTACCATAATATTGTGAAAAGATTCAGGAAATCCAGAGAAATCTCAGTCTGTTCAGGGGACGGCAGGAGACCTCCATTGAATGTGCTTGACCTTTGAGCCCTCAGATGGCAGGAGTACTTTGAAAAACCGTTTTCACTTAACACAGTCATCAAGAAATGCAACTTGAATCTCTTTTATGCAAGGAGAAAGCTATACATCTGTTCAAAGCAGAGATGCAGGCGAGTTCTCTGGGCCCAATCTAATCTTCTAATCTAATCTAGGTTTACCAAAGGAGAATCAGACAATGATGACCACGGACTCAACGTAGATGTCTTATATCAGGCGAGATTGGGTAAAAATTCCACTTGCAAAACTGCAACAATTAGTATCCTCAAAACCCAAATGATTAAAAAGTATAATTAAAAGGAAAGGTGATGGCCTCTGTCTCCAAATTTTGTGTTTGGAAACGCACCAAAGTGTGTTGCAGCCATCAAAATAAATAAAATAATTGTTTATATTTACAAAATACAATTAAGTTGGTCAGTGAAAACATTGGAAATATTTTCTTTATACATTTGTCAGTTAAATAAAAGTTCAAGAGAATTAACAAATCACAGATTCTTATTGCATTATACAAAATGTCCCAACTTTTTTGGAAATTGGGTTTATATATTGTACTACAAAATGTATTAAGTGCACCAATGCACTTAAAAATGCCCTCATCAATGTTGTTAAATGTTTGTTAGCTTTGGATCTGCCCATTCATTGACCCAAGGATAAGATGTCTTTGGTATTCTGTTTTTTAATTTATAAAAATATTAGTTTGTACATATTTATATATTCCACAGAGTAAACAATCATTTTACATGCCTTTTTTCTAACATAAATTGTACATAAAACATTTCAGAATGTCTGCAATTTGTCTGAAATACTGTCTGTTGAATTTCTTGCATTCTTCAGTGCGTTAGAACAAAATGGCCTTGTCAGAGTGGAATGAGGCAATGTATGGTACAAATGTTGCTATTGATGTGGTAGCTGTACAAAAAATAAGACAAGAACACAATTATATAATATACTTACTGGCAAATAATAAATAACACTATTATGGTCTTTTTGTTTCAACTCTTTAATATATACCATTTATTTTACAAAATGCCACATTTGCACCATAATACTAAGTAAATGAATGTGGGCCTATTAATTTAACTATTACATTTTAAATGTAAGACGCCACAGTGATGAATCAAGCAATAGTACTAATTAATGCATAGGAAATAAAAAACACAGCGCGATATTAATGAGATAATCTCCTACACAGGATTTTTTTGTGTTTCTCTGATTTGTCTGCTCTAGAGTTTGACAATGTCACAATCTGTGCAATAGATTTGCCAAGATACTAAAGTTTGCAAACAAAAGTCAGATCTCAATATGAACTATGAAATATGAATATCTTATTAAATTCACTCAAGACCAAACTATCTTTGCTATTCTAAACACATTCGTTTTATGGCTACATACTCTTAGTGTATTAACAATTGTCAAGATTTTTTTTTCCGATTGATACATAAATGAAACATAGATGAATTCCATAAATCTATGAGCTATGATGATAGAGCGATAAAATACGGTTAAAGGTCTGAAAATGACAATTCTGTCATTATTGATTCACGCAGCAATGACTGCAATGAAATGTTCTCCATTCCACATATTAAAACTGAAGTGTAATGCTCAGTTGACACATCCTAGAAATGGCAAATGTAGACAAAACATCAAACCTTGCCCATACTATTTTTTAAATCTGAACAAAAATGCATATAACAACAGTTTTGCAGAGGGGTATTTTCCGTCAATAACTGTTTTGGTCTATTTCTCGCATTGTAAGCAATATGACTTCAGGCGACTTGCACCATAGAGCAATAATATATATATATAATAGCACTGCAATAATAGTCAAGTCACCTTTATTTATATAGCGCTTTTTACAATACAGATTGTATCAAAGCAGCAAGATAAGATCGAACAACATGAGAGTAAAATAATGACAGAATTTTAAATTTGGGTGAACTATCCCTTTAAATTTAACTACCATACCCATGCTGTCATTTTTATTCAACTATGGGTAAAGTATCATTTATTTTTCAGCTATTATGCGATTTTAATTGCGTTTAGGCTACTGCATCAGCTAGCATACTTGTCAGTCAGTCAATGTGTAAACTCACTGCATCTGCAAAGGGAGTGTATCTGCCATCCCTTCCCCCATCCCCACCACCATCATCACCGCCGGACCAGTGAACACCAGGCTCGGTACATCATTTCACCGTTATGGCAAATGAATTCCCAGAAAACAGAGAAAGAACTGCCAACTCACGCCATGCCAACATCACGTCGTCTCTAGACCTGAGCACGTCTCTAGACCACAGTGTGCAGACGCGGATTTTTAAAATCATTGTCATCGGGGACTCAAATGTGGGTAAGACCTGTTTAACCTTCCGCTTCACCGGCGGAGCCTTCCCCTGCAAGACTGAAGCCACCATCGGCGTGGATTTCAGGGAGAAAGCTGTGGAAATCGAGGGCGAGAAAATAAAGGTAGGATATATTGTCGGGGCTGGTCTCTTCCCGAAGGCCGATATCTCGTTGTGTCACGATTGTATTGTGTGCTTGGGTGGACGTGTGACAGCAGCATCATGAGGAAGCTCAATGTTTACATTCTGAGTAATACCAATGACTCTTTCTGATCGCATGTTGCATCAAGGCGCCTGGTCATCGTCTTTTCTTTCATTTCAGACGAATAAAATTACATGTCATAATGTCGACAATTTAGAAATCATCACACCTGCTAAACACAAGAAGTGTTTTTTTTTTTTTTTTTTTTTTTTTTTTTTTATAACTGTATCCATAGATTGGCATATAGCCTAATCCAACAAAGATTGATAAAGTCAACAGATTTAACTAATAGAGCTACCAATCTCTGTAAAAAAAAAAAAAATGATGCTGCCATCTTTCTAAAGTTACACTTTTTGCCCCCGTGTAATTTGACTCCAAATCTCAGGTGAAAATTGTCATTTTGAACCCACTCTTCAAAATAATGGATTACTCGGTAAATAATCTAAATATACATCCATGACATTTAATATTTTGGTTTTCATCACTATTTATCTTTGTCTTTCTTCAGAAAAAATATGAACAAAATCAAAAATGTTATCAACTCAATACATAGACTGGTGGAAAGGGAATGACATTACATAGATAACACACAAATGCACACACAGACTATGTATTTTGTATATTAATATAAATGTATTTTGAGAAAGTAACACATCCGTCTAATGCAATAGAAGCAAGCACTAAATATTCCAGATGCATCAACATTTTTATGTTGAGCCAATATATGTTGTCATTAAATAAAAAAGGGAAACACTATGACATTTAAAGAGCACAATTATGAGTAAAGGTCAAAGATTTGACCAGCAATCATTTGGAATTAACATCACACCATGAATGCTTAAAAAATGGCCAAAGTTGATTTATTTATTGTCATGTTAGTTTATTTCTGATGCATCAGTTTTCTCCTTCACCTTCTCTGCAACCGTGAAATTAGTTTCTGTCTCGTTTCTTTTCTAACAGGTACAAGTATGGGACACAGCGGGCCAAGAGCGCTTTCGGAAGAGCATGGTGGAGCACTACTACCGCAATGTGCATGCTGTGGTATTTGTGTATGACGTCACAAAAATGGCCTCATTCCAGAACCTAAAGACCTGGATTCAGGAGTGTAACGGGCACGGGGTGTCATCCTCAGTCCCTCGAGTTCTGGTGGGAAACAAATGCGATCTATTTGACCATATCCAGGTCCCTTCCAACACTGCCCTTAAGTTTGCAGATTCCCATAACATGCTACTGTTTGAAACATCAGCCAAAGATCCCAAGGAGAGCCAGAACGTGGACTCCATTTTCATGTGCCTGGCATGTCGTCTAAAAGCCCAAAAGTCCCTGATCTACAGAGACGTGGAGAGAGAAGACGGCAGAGTGAGGCTGACGCATCCGCCCGATCCTAAGAGTACCTGCCCATGCTGAGGACCTTAAACTGTGGAATTATTATCATTGATGATAATTCAGTGCAAGAATGTGCCTGCAACTAATTTTAGTTACTTTACGCCATGAACTATCCCTGTTTCTGTGTGTGTGCGTGTGTGCTTATCTTACATGTTGTTGTTGTTTTTCTATGGTTTTCTTTTTTTTTTCAATTACACCATCACTAAAAGGCAAATCCCACAAAACCAGTCAAGAATATGTCCGGGTTGTATTTCATCTCAAAATCAAAGGAAAGAAATGAGAAATAAAATAATGCCACCTTTCCATTGTTACATTATTGTCATGACAATTAAGCACATTTCCCCAAAAATGCACATTAGTAATTAGTAATCCCTAGTGAAAAATAAATATACTAAAATATATTTTAAATAACTAACTATTAGTTAGTTAGTTTCCCCAAAAATGCACATTAGTAATTGTTAACATTAATTAAAATGCACATTATTAATTAGTAATCCCTAGTGAAAAATAAATATACTAAAATATATTTTAAATACATTTATTTTATGCTAAGTATACTACAAATACATTTACATGTTACGTACTTAATATAAATACCCTGCAATTGTACTTTTGGTATACTACTGGTATACTTAACGTCTGCTAAATTGTTTGGAACAACTAATTTTGTACTTAATGCACTTTAGTTGTCCGGAAATAGTGCTGAGGTCCAACTAAAGATATACTTAAGTATATTTGATTGTGCTAAAGTGGAACTATTGCAAGTATACTTTAGATACACTTTAAATATCTTGCATTTAAAGACAGATATTATACAGAGAGCATACTATCCGTGATATTAAAACACATTTTAAGGCTTAATATTAAGAAATGTGCATTAAAGAAGTACTCCAAATAAAGTTTAATGCTAATTTTTATATCAGTAAGTCTCAAGCGATATGTCAGTAATTATGTTAATGAATTTCTAGGATACTCAGTATGAAGTAAATGTATTTTAAATACATACATAGGTTTTTTTCCCTAGGGTGTAATGGTGAAAAAGTCTTATTTTCATTGTTGTAATGCAAAACAATGAATGTATTATTTTAGTATTTTTGAGTATACGTATTAAGTATTTATTTTATAATTACAAAAAAAGTAGTTTACTCAAAATTAAAACATCAGGTACATTATTTTGAGATTTCTGGTGAGGAAAAATTAGAAAATATAATGGCCCCTCAATATGCTTAATTTTTGTCATGTCTAGCTAGTAAGGTTTACACAAGATTTCATGCATGTGTAGAAGAATGATTTTCAATCCCTCATGCTTAATTCGGGGTGCACTTTATCCGCAAAATACCACTTATAAGTAAGTAACCTTTAAAGGATTGAGAAAATGTGACATTTGTTATATTTATTCATTTGGTTCTGTCACACATTCATTTAGATTCATTCATCGGCATAAGACAACATCTCACACATTATTGGCTGATGGTCTTAAAGGGACAGTTCACCCAAAAGTAAAAGTTCTGTTATCAATTACTCCCACTCAAGTTGTTCTAAACGTGTATGAGTATCTTTGTTCTGTTGAACACACACACACAAATAATAATGATATTTTGAAGAATGGATAACCAAACTGTTTCTGGTCCCCATTGACTTCCATAGTATTTTTTATAGTATGGAAGTCAATGGGGACCAGCGACTGTTTGGTTACCCACATTCTTAAAAATATATTTGTTATGGTTGTTCAACAGAACAACATCCCTTTAAGGTTTCAGCCGTCAGGAACTGCACATGGAATCCAAACCCTCCAGTACTGCAGTTTCAGAGTTTTTACAATGATCATTCAAATGTGTGTGTAATGCCTTAAAACATATTCAGTTCTTTTTCCTAGCCTTGTGGTTACTAAAATATGTCTAACATTAACCCTCACTAACAGCATGGATGTATTTGTTACTCATTAAAATGATGAAACTATTAGTACATATTCTGATAGTTAGCATTAAATAGTCTAGTGACCCAACAAAATGCTTAATGTAATCTGATACCGCTCATAATTCACCTCATTGGAAACCAGTGGTGGGAAGTTTTATGTGGCATCACAGTATTTCACCAGCTTAAAGTGGTTCTTCCAAATGCATTAAGACTTCAAAGGTTCAAACAGGCTAATTATTGTTACATTTCAATTCAAAACCACCAGAAAACAATTATATTAACATGACAAAGAATGGTGTTGTAAGTGTTTGTGGAAATGTTGATTATAAAAAAAGAGTGTAATATGGTGCCCCTGTAAGTTTGTTTTTAGTTATTATAATCTCTATCCACTGCCTATTCTATTCTGTTCTTTTGGTTCTACAGGAGAAGTTGCAGTTTTTTGTGTGTGTGTGGTTTCAGATGTATTCAGATTCATAAGAGAATTCTCTGGTTTCAATCGTTTTAGCCTTATACTGTATCTGCTGAAGACATTGAAGCCTTATGATTTGTCTTGTTTTGTGCCATTGTATGCTGTCACATGTTACAATATGTATGTTAGGTTTTGAGCACCAAATTAAATCTCACATATCCTGAAGCCCCAGCCCTTTCATTAGCTGAGAAATGGCTCCGCTTTAAAACAGCAACAATTATTGGAGTTCATATTTTATTTGTCATAGAAAAATTATGAACTGATTAAATGATTTTCAAACGCACCACACAGTACTGTTAACATATTATGCTGAAAAGAGAATCCCACTCTGCTGAAATTATTAATGGATTTATTGAGGACATGCAGTATTAACAATACTAATAGACTAACATTATGCAACGATAATCATCCTGTTGTAATAAATGCAACAACCAAAAAAATACATTTGCAATGTAAAGAGAGGAGTTAAACATTTTTAGGATGTAGAAGAAATAATTTATAATAAAATAAATAATTTTTCACCGTTCTAAATATATACAAGTGGAAAAGGCCATAATAAAGTTTACCCAGAGTGCTTATGCAATCAGGCTTTTGAATATTATTTTTGCATTCACAGAACAGTCATGAATTTAAAAGTGAAATTAAACTAGGCAAAAGTGCCCATGGTTAAGATATAGGCTACTCTCAGGCCTGGTTTCACAGACATATGAATATGTCATATTATATAGAATATATGAATAAAAATATAAAATATATAAATAATAGGCTACAATAAATATAAACTAATAAAGATAAAATTACAAAACTTTTTGTATTTATTGCATTTCAAAATCAATGTGTTAGGTATTTGCATGCATATTGAATAATGTGTTCTATAGAAATATGTCTATGGCCTGGTTTCACAGACAGGGCTTTATTAAACCAGGATTAGGCCATAGTTTAATTAGGACCTTTAAGTAGCTTTTATAAATGTGTTTAGAAAAAAGACATTACTGGTGTGCATCTTGAGACAAAACATATTTTAAGATATGTTAGTGCAAGTTTCTTTAAGGTAAAATAGCTCAGACATGCATTTTAGTCTGGGACTAGGCTTAAACCTTTTCTGTGAATCCGAGGGTAAATGACAGATATTTTACAGTTAAACTCATAATTCATTTGCAGCCTGTAATTTATTTATTTTTTAAATCATGACAAACACACACACACTCACAAATGTGCATAATCAACACATGAACTAATAGGATATATTTTTAAGATCATTAAACACAATAATCGAGTACCATAAGTGTACCAAAAAGCGCCATATTTTATTGTTACTGTCAACTCTCCACATTTGAATTTTTGCTCATTATGTAATTAATGTGCTAATGTGAAAATGGAGAAACACGTTGTTGTAACTGCTGTCTCTTTAAAAACTTTTATGAAATAATCTTAAAACGTTTTTAAATCATTTAAATGTAAAATGTTCCCTGTAATTTCCTTTGATGAGAGTGGCGTGGTGGAGGTGAAATGCGTTGATGACACAGACAGTAGATGTCGCTGTTTACACGCTCTCTGTAATGACTCAGCGTGAGAGACTTTTATTTTGAAACATACTTGTCTTGTCGCTTTATCCGGATTCACTCTGCGGTGTAAGTTAGTTAGCAGTCGACCGTTCAGCGGTAGCAGCGGGTCTGTGGGCTCGGTTCTGTCGCTGTGGACGGGCCGGAGATGGCGGAGTACAGTCAGACGGGTATATTAACGGCCCTCCTGCTGTTTACTGTGGTAACAGTGAAGGATATTTATGTGGGCCGCAACAGCATGACTCAGCAAGACAGCGCCGTACCCGACATGCACACACAGAGACCGAACAAACACACATTATACACGGGTCCGGTTCTCAAGTTCCAGTTCTGGTGAGAGACTCCACAGACATTCATGTTATTCAGTGTTTTCACTTTCTCTTTAAAGCCCAAAGGGGGTGCTAAGCTAATACGGCTAACATGGCATGCCCGAATAAAATAAAATAAACTATTTAAATGGATAAATATACATTAAAATAATTATAACTTGCATAATAATTTTATTTGCACAATAAAGAGGATGAATTGAGGTAAATTGGGCCGGTTTTGTCATGGGATGAATGCCAAGCGATTTAAGTTAACTTAACGTTACGTAAATCCACCCTTTAAATACGTTAAAATCATAAAGCATCTTTTACAACACATGCATATGTATAAATTATTTAATGTATTGAACTTGTAGGGTGGAGCTTGGTTCTTTGTACCGGTTGTTGATTGTATGATCAAATGATTTGAGAAGACCTCACTAGAGAGGTCATTTTTGATTTAACATTACAAAGTAAAAATATATACCGGTATGTAAAAATATCTTCATAATCATGTCCATTTCTAAAGTGATTCATCTTGGCCATTAACTGTTTGTTTTTAGTATATCCTGAGGGTACAGTAAGGTGTACCAGGAGTACTCCCGGTCCATCAGCCAGCTGTACCCGGACATCCGAATCGAGGGAGAGAATTACCCTCCCAAACCCATCAACAAGTGAGAGAGCATTTTTCCAGATCTTATGGAATTGACCCTCTGTCAGGCCTGACTTAACTCGTCATGTGTCTTCCTCTGCAGATACTTAGGTAACTTCATCTCTTATTTCAAACTGCTTGCCATCGCTTTGATTGTGACTGGACAAAATCCTTTTCAAATGTTTGGAATGGACACTCCAAGAATATGGTCCTGGGGACAGGAGAATAAGGTAATGTTGAAAATGGTGCTTGGACTCTAACCTGGTTTTATAGCGGAATCAAGGCTGAAGATAAACTTTCACTGTGTCATAGTTGAACTGACGCAAAAGCCTGTTTTGAGGAATGAGCAGCATTTCAGAGCCGTAAACACATCATTCAGTTTGAAGGCCAAGAATTGGCAGAATGTATATGATGGCCTACTGACTGTAAACACCTGTGTTAAAGATGTAAAATCAATTTTTAGGAGAGCCTGGTTATATCAGCAGAAAATTTGTTTAAAATGCTGTAAGTTCCATTTATGGAACAGTTATGAAATCAAACTTTGTTTTTGTTTAGAATAATATGCACTGATGAATCATGCTCCATGAGACTGCATGTAAAATATTAACCAATAATATGATAAGCTAAATATGACCATTTAATCAAATCCTGTTTTTACATTATTCCCAGCTCAATATCCTGTTTCACTTTGAAATATCCCATGTTATGTCACATATTACAGTATTTAATCAAAAGTGGCAGAGGTTTCACACCATGACATTTGGTCAAGAAACATATGAGGATATTGACGCTCATCGGCACTATTTTATTGGATGGTTGCATGAATTATTTGACAGTTAAGTCATGATTTAATGGAAGTAGCATCAGATGCTTTTTACGTATTGTGAGTGATGTGTTTATATGTGTGTATATACACTCACCGGCCACTTTATTAGGTACCCCATGCTAGTAACGGGTTGGACCCCCTTTTGCCTTCAGAACTGCCTCAATTCTTCGTGGCATAGATTCAACAAGGTGCTGGAAGCATTCCTCAGGGAGTTTGGTCCATATTGACATGATGGCATCACACAGTTGCCGCAGATTTGTCGGCTGCACATCCATGATGCGAATCTCCCGTTCCACCACATCCCAAAGATGCTCTATTGGGTTGAGATCTGGTGACTGTGGAGGCCATTTTAGTACAGTGAACTCATTGTCATGTTCAAGAAACCAATTTGAAATGATTAGAGCTTTGTGACATGGTGGAAGTAGCCATCAGAGGATGGGTACATGGTGGCCATAAAGGGATGGACATGGTCAGAAACAATGCTCAGGTAGGCCGTGGCATTTAAACGATGCCCAATTGGCACTAAGGGGCCTAAAGTGTGCCAGGAAAACATCCCCCACACCATTACACCACCACCACCAGCCTGCACAGTGGTAACAAGGCATGATGGTTCCATGTTCTCGTTCTGTTTACGCCCAATTCTGACTCTAACATCTGAATGTCTCAACAGAAATCGAGACTCATCAGACCAGGCAACATTTTTCCAGTCTTCAACTGTTCAATTTTGGTGAGCTCTTGCAAATTGTAGCCTCTTTTTCCTATTTGTAGTGGAGATGAGTGGTACCCGGTGGAGTCTTCTGCTGTTGTAGCCCATCCGCCTCAAGGTTGTGCGTGTTGTGGCTTCACAAATGCTTTGCTGCATACCTCGGTTGTAACGAGTGGTTATTTCAGTCACTGTTGCCCTTCTATCAGCTCGAACCAGTCTGGCCATTCTCCTCTGACCTCTGGCATCAACAAGGCATTTCCGCCCACAGAACTGCCGCTCACTGGATGTTTTTTCTTTTTCGGACCATTCTCTGTAAACCCTAGAGATGGTTGTGCGTGAAAATCCCAGTAGATTAGCAGTTTCTGAAATACTCAGACCAGCCCTTCTGGCGCCAACAATCATGCCACGTTCAAAGTCACTCAAATCAACTTTCTTCCCCATACTGATGCTTGGTTTGAACTGCAGGAGATTGTCTTGACCATGTCTACATGCCTAAATGCACTGAGTTGCCGCCATGTGATTGGCTGCTTAGAAATTAAGTGTTAACGAGCAGTTGGACAGGTGTACCTAATAAAGTGGCCGGTGAGTGTATATACACATATACAAATTAAGCAGATTATCGAAGAAGAAAATGTAGGGCAGGACTTGGTTCTGGGCATCGATTGTTGACTGGATGGAGGCAGATCTGAATGAAAGCTTGCAGCCAATTGTCAGAAAAGTGCGGGTTTAAGCAGACAAAATGATTGGAGAAGTCCAGCATTTCACTGGAATATTTTGATTAAGAAGTACAATATCTAATAGAATTGAGAACTGAAACGCATGCACAGATTAATTGTCCACATTAAGATCAATTACAGAGATGGGGTGAATTTACATTTCATGCCAACTGCATTTTGTCCACTGTCTTCGTAGTGGTTTTAAATGGGAATCAATCTAAATCTGGAGGATGTTTCTCATGGTTGATGGTCTGTTTTGCAGATTTTCTCCTGCCTTATGGCATTCTTCCTTAGTAACATGCTGGAGACCCATTTCCTCTCGACAGGGGCTTTTGAGGTTACATTGAATGGTAATGTCATTTGGATGACCACTCCACTCGGAAAAAAAAACAACTTAAAAAAAATATATATAAACAATATATGTATGTCAAAGATGCATAACTATCTTTCTGTTTTAGATGTACCAATTTGGTCCAAGTTGCAATCTGGATACGTGCCCAACATTCAGGAGCTTTTCCAGATCTTGGATAACCACCTTAAGATGAATCAGGTTGACAAGATGAACTTTCCCTCACCGTAGAGCTGTTGTTTTTGCCAAGAGACATGTAAGAGGTAAAACCTGTACAATGACATCACCGTGTGTGTCACAGCATGTTTTGTTGTTGTTGTTGCTTTCAGTACAGGTGTTTCCCTTGACTTACAGATTATACGCAAAACTTGAATCTGTTGCTTGCATGGTATTTCAGTATGGTATTTACACTTCTGTTAAAAAGTTTGAGGTCAGAAAGATTGTTTTGAAAGTCTCTTATGCTCACCCCAAATTTGGACAGGACTAGTTTTCCAGAGGGACGTTAGAGAAATTTGTGTTTCGCAGACGTACGTTGCTATTTTAATCCCGTCTGAATCTTCCTAGACTGTTTTTCTCCCACAACCTCTGTAAAAATTCCACAGAAGTATGCTAGTATGTGGTTTCAAATACAGCATTTGTGAAGGATAAAGAACCAGCTCTAAGGTCATTTGCTCATGAATTGGACTAAACAGCTCATGCTGTATGTTTGGTTTAATGTGTTTTTTTTTCCAAAATAGAGATGAGCTTTCCTGCTGTTATTTTGCTGGACTCTGCATTTTTTTTTTCTTGCATTTAATTCAGACAGCAATGCGGCATGTACCTTTCTAGGGGGAAAAATGTAGTAAAAAGCTCTTTTTTTTTTACTGCTTTCGTCACTACTTGATGCTGCATTGCACTTGTTTAGGACATGTCAATCAACATGCCTTATTCTACCCAAGAGCACCATCAAGTGTCCTCTCGTCTGCAGGTCTTCGGAGCCGTTTCTCTGTTCAGAGGGACTGTGGACTGTGGCATAATGAAGGCCTGCGCTGAAAACAGCACGCTGTGAGCGCAGACTCGATGCTCGGCCACCACACACACTCCTCCTGCCCAGCGACACACATCTCCGGATTGACTACATCGCTTCAGAGCATCAAACTTCATACATTTGTAGTAGGAGAGTAACATGAGCGCTAAAGGCACTACATTTATTACCGAATGCTGAAGTTAGGTTTTTTTTTTTTTTTTTTGTCATTCTGTTTGTAACAAGTGCTTTTAACTGAGATTGAATGGAATGTTCCGTCTTTCTCGAGGGCAACTGTGATGTTTTCTTAATGTAGATGTCTTTAAATGGCCTTTAACATGATCATTTGTTTGCACTGGTGTAGACTGTACTGTACTCGGGGGAATCTGACTTTTTTAATTAGTGGGAATGTCTGTGTACTGTGGAAACATGCAGGATTTTTTTTAGAGAGCTAATGTTTTTTGTTTTTTTTATGCTTGAAGTGGTACATTTTTTGTTTGTCACAGGTTCACTGGTTAGATTCATAAGTACTGCATGTGATGAAGGCCAGATCTTCTGACTTTAACTGTATACACTGCCAGGGTGAGCTGTGAAATCGTCTGCAGTCGTCTTAATGATGGTGTGATTGAGTGTTGCATATCAGAAGATGTGAATGGGAACTCCAAAGACATCCACTATTTTTCCAGCTCTCTCCATATAGATGTGGCGGCAAGCAATGTACCCCTGATAGTTTAGTGCATCTGTGAATTTGTAACAAAAGTGATATTGATAGTTGGGATTATGTTGCATTGAGAAAAGAAATTATACTCCTTCACATTGATCTAAAATAAAGATTCAAATATATATATAAAAAATGTGATTTGTGAATTATTTTTTATTATCAGTTTTCATATATAATTGAGTAACAACATGATTGTTAATATGGTTTCTGTTTTTGTGCTTGATTGAATTATTGGTTTAGAATGTTTTAATAGGTAAAGTTGGCAAATATGATATAAAAGTGTTTTGATAGAAAATAGACAAAAATCTTTTGTTTTTCGATTATAAATCAATTTTTCACCAAAATCTTTATATTTTCTAATGAGGTGCATTGGGTTATGTTTAAAATCTTAATGAAACTCAAGTTGCACGTTTTTTTTTTCCTTATTGTGATACAGTAGTGGCCCAAAGTGATGTCCAGAGGGGATATTTGTTTTTGATGACCCAACAAGTTTGAATAAACCATCAAAATATGAGGAAAAAAGATATATATTTAAATTAAAATATGTTAAATTTGAGGGAAGAACAAAACTATACTTGGTTCAGGTATTTATCTGATAAAATTATGTGCCAAAAAAGTCATGTTATAGCTTTGCAAAACAAAAAGCTCTCAGGAAAAAGCATACATCGATGACAATAATCAGTTCTTAATATTTATATATTTTTGGTTATCTCGTTTTTCCATATTTTCATAATTTCTTTGAATGAGAGCCTGGCCAAAAATTATGTCTGCGCAATTTAGTAAATGCCAAAAAAGCTATTTTCAAAAATATATATATTTTCAAAATTGATATAATGCACATTGTTGAGTCATGAACAATGTGTTTAAACACGTTTTAGTTGTTAAATTACATTCTTTAGTGTTAAAGTGTTTAATTTAATTTTGGGACTTTTTATATCAGGCGGTACAACCAAATAGTTGTACCACCTGACGTGGTATTAGTGCACTAACTTACCCATACTTGAAATGAGCAGTTTGTACCAGTATATGAGAGAGATCTACAAATCTTTTCACTGCCACAAGGATCAGTCGGGCTCTTCTGGATGATACATTATCATGTTTACTGTTAGTAAACAGCTTTAAAACCACTGATATTTATCAATTGAAATGTTTCAAACTTAAAATGATGCCATAGTATTTCGTTTTTAATTTATTATTATTAAGACAACATTTTAAATAGTTCTTAGTCTGTTAATTGTTCGGACAGTTGGACCACCTGACATCTTTGGGGTTTAAGATAACAAAACATAAAATAAAATGTATTATTTAAATGTACTAAAAATTAATTTAAACTAAATAGGTTTTATAGATTAAAGTGATATATCATGAATTTATCAAATTATTGTAAAAGGAAATAATGCAGTTTGACACAAAAAAATGTCATTGAGAAAAAATGTCATTTGTCATTGAGAGCATGACGTAATTTAGATATATTTTTAAGATGGAAGAATGCGGTTGTACAGATAGAATGAAAGATTGGTATCAAAGAGCACACCCAGGTTCCTAACCGATGACGAATGTTTGACAGAGCAGCCATCAAGTGTTGGACAGTATTCTAGGTTATTACATGAGGAAGTTTTTTGTCCAATAATTAAAATCTGTTTTTGTTTTTTTCAGAATTAAGTAGTAAAGGCTACATTATTATGTTTCTTTTTTCTACTTTTATAGTACTGTATTGTACTGTTCAATTTACGTATTTACTTATTTACTGTAATCTAATTTTTATTTATTTACTCATTTGTTTATTTTAATCAAAATTTAAAAAATATATGGAAACAGTCCTTTTTTTCATTCTTTTGTGTGTGTGTGTGTGTTTCATGTTATGTGGATGCTAGAAAAGATTTGCGGTTCATGAAAATTCATACACCCAGAATTCTTCCAGTCCCACAGGTGGCGCTGTGTGGAGGAGAACTGTGCGTCTTATTCTACTGTATTTCTGCTGTAGCTTTTAAGGGCTGACTGCTGGAGAGAGTGTTGAGTATGTAACCGGCTAATCTGTAAAACTGACGATAATGTTGATTTAATATGTGATATTTAAATATAAAAGCGAGTATACTAATGTATTAAACAATAATTTAACCAAACGTACATTTCTAGAATCAAGCTAGCTGTCAGCTAACAATAAGACCATGTTAGCTAATTAGCGAACTAGCTACTATTTAAAACACTTTTTGACAGGTTCTTTACTGATCACGTCAAGTATTTATTATTGTTCACAAAATAACAAAACGCGCCTTTTGTCCATGCTTACTACACGGTTTTCTATTAATTTTAGTCATGTAAATAAGGCTAACGTTAGCTGGCTAATGCAGATATTCAACTCGCTCATTTATTTAACTTACATACGATATTTAACACAAGGGTTTCATCTTGTGAGAATAGAGCAAACTACACGTCATTTAAAACGAGTGATGTGTCGTCAGGAGTTAATAACTGACATCTTTAGACTGAATTGCTAAGCTTTGAATAAAGACTGTCTAAACAGTTTGTGTCCTTATAATACGACTAATTTGTGTTTTAGCATTTATTATCCGTTTCGAGGAATTATCTGTTGACTAAGTGATATTTCGAGGCATATTGGAGTTGTGAACACCAGTCATCATGAGTAATGCTGTGAGTATGGCTGATCATGTGACCACTCACGTGACTGATTATTGCTGATTAAATTTAAACTATTGCAGCTTGTTGAATGGCAGTTTCCCTGCTTCCAAACAATAACAGTAATACAATAGCTGTACTATAGTAACCACTTGTGTCTCCTGTGTTTAGATCCAGAGGAAAAGACGATCAGTCCGTGTCAGCAGAAAGAGGAACCAGACCCAGATGTCTCAGACGGTGATGGAGACTATTGATGTGCTGGAAAGTGACAGAACTAATAGTGAGTTTGCTTTAGTTTTGCCAGATGAGTCATTCACTTCTCATATAGTCGATGTATCATTTATCAAGCACGACATGCAGCGGTTTACTGAAAAGACCCTATGATCAACAATATCCTGTTTAAACAAAGCCTTGTAGCCTGGTTGACACCAGACCCTTCTCAGTTGGGTCTGGGGAAGGTTCATTCACAGCCCATTTCCAAAGGGACGCGCGTCACCAACGGATGTCTCTCAAATGCCTCTGGGCGCAATTGGATAGACCTAAAACCAATCAGAGCATTCGTCATTGTGTAAAGCTCGCCTCAACGTTTGTGTTTGGTGCCTCGATTTGGAAAAATTGGAAATGGGCTTGAATAGGCTCTTGGCCAGACTGACTTGCAGAGCAAATCTCAAATGGCTACAAGCCTTGAACAATAAATCACATTTTGCAGGAGGGTTGAACAACATTCAGAATTTACAGTTTCCTTTTCAGTTTGTGTGCTGGAGTGCAACAGTCTGGTTCTGGAAGGAAAAATCCCATTCATTTTCTCCATAGGGAAATTGATTTTGAACAATAACTTATAAACCGTTAAAGAGCAGCTTCCAGAGTGGCTATATATATATATATATATATGAACCAAAATAACTTTTTTTACAACAAAAATGAACCATTACTAATCTTACTTAAGCTGGACTATGAAGCTATTTTCTTCTAGATTTGCTGTACAGCAGAAACAAACTTTGTTGCATTATTTTCCTGTTATCTCTGTAACTGACTTGACTTGGCTTGAAAGACCGTCCTACTGTAGGCTCCAAGGTTGTTAATCGATGATACATGCTTTTGTTGAAGTCATCAGCCTGCATTATTTCAACTTCATTTTTGTAATACTAGTCTTTAATGGGAAATCCTTGTGAGAAACTGCATTACCCATGATTTTATATATATATATATATATATATATATATATATACACACTCACCGGCCACTTTATTAGGTACACCTGTCCAACTGCTCGTTAACACCTAATTTCTAAGCAGCCAATCACATGGCGGCAACTCAGTGCATTTAGGCATGTAGACATGGTCAAGACAATCTCCTGCAGTTCAAACCAAGCATCAGTATGGGGAAGAAAGTTGATTTGAGTGACTTTGAACGTGGCATGATTGTTGGTGCCAGAAGGGCTGGTCTGAGTATTTCAGAAACTGCTAATCTACTGGGATTTTCACGCACAACCATCTCTAGGGTTTACAGAGAATGGTCCGAAAAAGAAAAAACATCCAGTGAGCGGCAGTTCTGTGGGCGGAAATGCCTTGTTGATGCCAGAGGTCAGAGGAGAATGGCCAGACTGGTTCGAGCTGATAGAAGGGCAACAGTGACTGAAATAACCACTCGTTACAACCGAGGTATGCAGCAAAGCATTTGTGAAGCCACAACACGCACAACCTTGAGGCGGATGGGCTACAACAGCAGAAGACTCCACCAGGTACCACTCATCTCCACTACAAATAGGAAAAAGAGGCTACAATTTGCAAGAGCTCACCAAAATTGAACAGTTGAAGACTGGAAAAATGTTGCCTGGTCTGATGAGTCTCGATTTCTGTTGAGACATTCAGATGTTAGAGTCAGAATTTGGCGTAAACAGAATGAGAACATGGAACCATCATGCCTTGTTACCACTGTGCAGGCTGGTGGTGGTGGTGTAATGGTGTGGGGGATGTTTTCCTGGCACACTTTAGGCCCCTTAGTGCCAATTGGGCATCGTTTAAATGCCACGGCCTACCTGAGCATTGTTTCTGACCATGTCCATCCCTTTATGGCCACCATGTACCCATCCTCTGATGGCTACTTCCACCATGTCACAAAGCTCTAATCATTTCAAATTGGTTTCTTGAACATGACAATGAGTTCACTGTACTAAAATGGCCTCCACAGTCACCAGATCTCAACCCAATAGAGCATCTTTGGGATGTGGTGGAACGGGAGATTCGCATCATGGATGTGCAGCCGACAAATCCGCGGCAACTGTGTGATGCCATCATGTCAATATGGACCAAACTCCCTGAGGAATGCTTCCAGCACCTTGTTGAATCTATGCCACGAAGAATTGAGGCAGTTCTGAAGGCAAAAGGGGGTCCAACCCGTTACTAGCATGGGGTACCTAATAAAGTGGCCGGTGAGTGTATATTTATGTATGCACATTTTGCAGGACATTTTAATTGTGTATAAATATAAAAATATTTCTACATTGTTTCTAATTTGATTGTCATTCGCAATGCTCCATGGGATTGTATTTCCAGAACACTGAAATTACCATAACAGATGAATTGTCAAAATATTGAACATGGCTATCATAACAGATTTTTAATTTTACTCGTACTACAAACACAATACCACATTCCCTCATTTGAATATTTAGATTTTATAATATATCAAATTATTATTATAATTATTAAATATACATTTTGATGTGACATTTCAAGTATTATCTTATATTTCTTGGAAAAACCTGGAATATTTCTGGAAAAATGAACATTTTGATGAATTGAATTCAGACTAAAAATGAAATGTAGTGTTACAACCATTTTTATATGAATTAAGAATTTTCTAATGATTGTCATTCCTTATTTATTTAAATGAAATAACATTTTAAATCTTAAGCCGGGGACACACTTAACGACTGTAAGGCTGATTATGAGTGTAATTTGATATGACTGATCATGCCCAAACCCGCCGAGTCGTGTTCACAGTTGGTGTTTAAAGTCTGCTCCCGTCATTGGAAAGAGTGTTTAAGTGTGCTCAGTCAGTTTAGAACGTTTCAGCTAGTCGGTAAGTGTGTCATCCACTATTATTTAAAGCTGCTGTAGGTAACTTTTGAAAAAATGTATTTGCTAAAACTGTCATTATGTCCTGACAGTAGAATATGAGACAGATAATCTGTGTAAAAATCAAGCTCCTCTGGCTCCTCCTAGTGGTCCTATTGCCATTTGCAAGAACTTCACGCTCCCGGTCAGAAACAACCAATCAGAGCCAGGAGGAGTGTCTTAGCAGTGTCAATCACGCTCGTGTACGCGCTGATCACACACCTCTCTTGCACAGCGCGAGCCGTCGTTCAAACTCAAGATTGCCGGCGTGCTGCAGCTGTGCTTATGACGGAGAAACAACCTAAACTGCCAATTCTCGAGTGACGCCTGCTCATAAAACAAAGAGGTAAAAGGAAAAAGACTGATGACGATAAACAAGCGAAAAAGAAAGAATTACACAGAGCCCATTGACTCGGTGTCAAAACTCTAGCCGCATAACATGTAGATAAAATGTCACGCACTCTGCTAAGCAACAATTGAAACCTGCTAATTCACTGGCTTATCATGTTGCTGAAATAATGTACTAGCACACCTTATCTAGCATTATATATCGCTAGAATAATTACTTACATACTGTAACGTTAGTTACCGTTATATTAACGTTATCTTACTAGCTATTTATAACTTATAGAAAGAGTGCAACATTATAAAGTTACATGTAGGCTATTGCAAAATACATAATGATTTGAGGACCAAGTTTGTAGTCAAAGTATGGGCAGGCCATAGTCAATGTAAAGCATATTATTGACGTTTAGTCCCTATTAGTGAATGTGCCATATAACTTTATCCGCTGTTATCGGTGGCCCTGTTTACTAGCCTGCGCGTTCACGACAGGCTCCGCTGTGGAGGGAGGGCTGTAGCGCAGCAAAGAGCAAGGGGGTGGGACCTATAAGTTGTGCTTGTTCAAATTTTCAGGCTGAGTCAACGTTTTCTCAAAACTCCCTACTGCAGCTTTAAGGCATTAAATTAAAATTAACAACAATTGTATTCTCTTTTTTTTTGGAACTGTAATTTAAAAGATTTCCCCGACAGATTTAGGGCCTGTTTACACCTGGTCACCTCATGCGTTTTCTCTGATCGGATAGCTATTTGATCCTGGAAAGACCTGACCGGATGCATAAACTGCTAAGACTACTCTTACAAGTTAGTCATAATTTTTCTTTCCTTTAAGACTGTTCATACCTTTTTTTAATGCAGTTACATAAAATCGTAGATTGGTCTAATTTGATACCGAAAAGTAAGACTGATTACCCCAACTAACTGCTATTTGTTCGCACTAGTTCTTAAGACACAGTCTTAACATAATGTCTGTTTATGCACTGGTGTAAATGCCCTCTTAAACGGATTTAAATCTGATCACTCAAACCACTTCAGGCGGGTTTGAGACGCATTCCTGACGAAACTGGACAAGTATAAATGCATCTGGTTGTTGAAGCCACATATGTAAATTTTACTCCTCCCAAAATGGTTTAAAAAAAAAAAGTCACATGACCGTGATACTGCAACACAGATATGGGCCGCCCCAGATGAGTGGCTGAGTAGCAAACCGACGTGCAAATTAAAGTAGACTAAATGATCCCACCAGGGCTGATGCCACTCTCTCTCCTATTGCTGGCCTTGATCTTGAAATGAGCTGATGAGAAATAAACACATTTATGTGGCCAAGTGTAAATGGAAGAGTTTTAACAAAAAGGTTAGCTAGCCGATGAGTTAAAACACATGAAGTGACCAGGTGTAAACAGGCCAGTAGCTTCTTTCTAAATGTCTCCAGATCTAGACTGCTAACGTGTTTCTCTTTCATGCTGTCTTGTTGAAGGTGAAGATGTAGTAGATTTAACGTGTGAAGGGTCAGAAACTGCGGTTGTTGACCTCACCAATAATGATTCTATTGTGGTGAGTCTACAACTCTTGTACTATAGTATAAGTTTGACTGAAGCATGTGCTTTCTATTCTTTGGTTGTGTTGGTATTACTTTTTTTTTTTTAATGAATTCTGTCTCTTCCTTTTCTCGTCGTCTCATGGGATCAAGGTTGTGGAAGATGGTAATGTATCATAATGTTTTTCTTTTGTTGATGTAATTAAACTTCTCATTTGTAAGTCATTTTTGATAAAAGCTAATTATAAACAAATAAAGCTAATGTAAATGTAGTTTTCGTTAAATATGAAGTAACGGGTGGATTTCAAATAATATGACAGAATACTTATTGTAGTGGCAGTGAGGTGAGTTTTTAAAAATGTGATAACATTCATGTGTGTGTTGCAGGTGTGCAGAGCAGACGTGGACCGGGCACAGAGAGTTACGTTCTGAGCAGTGATGAAGAGGAAGAGTCCAGTCTCAGACTCAGTCCAGGTTTACTGTCCACCCTACAGGCCAGCTCACGGGCCAGGTACATCCATGCTTCTCACAAAGATTACATCAGCCTACGCCTATGAGTCTTGGAACCTATTTCAAAGCCACCAAACACCGTTGTTGTGCAAATGAATGGCCAGAACACATTAAAAGTGTTCTGTTTTCAGTTGAAACGGACCCTAAATGAATAACTAATGATTTTTTACAACGGAAGTGAATCAATCAAAAAACGGACACTTTAGCTTGACAATAACTTTATTCTAGAGCTGCTGTAAAACCAAAACAATCTCTGTTCCATTCATTTCCTATTATCACTGTAAAGCTGCTTTGAAACTATGTATATTTAAAAGCGCTGTATAAATGGTGACATGACATTATGCTAAACAATAGTCTTCATCCTTGTATGTAAATTTTGTGAATGCAGCTTTGTGCACTTTTACACAACAGTAAGGTCTAGTTAACACTAGAACAGTGTGTATTTCTCCATCTTCTCGTGTTGACTTGTGTTGTGTTGGCTGTAGGTCTACACCAGGAGCCGTTAGCTGTCCTGTTTGCATGGATGCTTATTCAGAGGTAAGTCCTTAGGCCTTATATGTGGTTAATAATCTTATACCATGGTCTTGGTGAATACTCGATTCTGATTGGCTGCAGGGTGTCCATTAAAAAGTGATTGAGGACACCTAGTAAAGGAGTTCTGGTGACACTGACTGTTTACCGTTCGAAATTAATAAATAAATGTGCTGGCTACATCAGCTGTGAGTAACCATAGCAACAGGCAATCAAAGTATCCGTTTATCCGTCTACGAGCTGAGCGGTCTATTATATCTCCGGTTGCTAACTAAACCGTCAGGCGTAACCAGGGAAACCAAGTTATTGTTTGTAAAAACTTTAGATTTCGATTGTAAAATTAAAATATTTATATTAAAATATAAACTAATGTTTTAAAAATGTGTTATTTGGCAAGTGACCATGGTATAAGCGGGTTAATGCCCTCCGAGGTGTCCATTGTCTAGGTATTAATGGACTTTGGCGGAGGCCTCCGCTGCGCGTCGGACGGTTCACGCCTCGCCATCGTCCATTAATACCTGATAATGGACACCTCGCCGGGCATTAACCCTTACATATATGCAGTTCATTTAAGCCCAAAGTATTCTTCATTTGACACATGCGTATACAACAACTCTGTCCAGTACCTGGGCAATCTCTCTTCATGAGTTATAGCCAGTTGTACAAATGAGGGCACTTTCTGCTTTCTTTGCACAATCTCTCATCCATGTAGCCGTCCATTGTTGGCACACGTTTCTCTCTGTTCCGTTAATTCTTTTTTTTTCTTGGACTACCTTGTGAATCCACGGCCCTTGCGGACAAACTAATTTCAATGCACATGTGCAGGTTGCGTGTGAAGAGAAAAGTATACTTTGGGCTTTATATGGTTAATTCACACCAAAATGAACGTTGTCATCATTTAAGGCCAATTCACACTTCACAAACAGACGGCGACATACGGCAACAGAAACTTCATCGGGTTTTGTCGGATCAGAGCGTTACGAATGTCTGCATCTGTTGGGGTTGGGTGGAGCTTTTTCACCGACTGAACATGTTGAACTACCGTTTGTCGGGTTGTGGAATGCCTGAGAAATTACGTACTGTGATTTTCCGCGTTGGTTGGCGTCTAAGGATTATGGAAGCTTGTTTCCGCCCCAGAATAAAATATTTTAAAAGATAATTGCGACTTTTTATCTCACAATTGCGAGTTTATATCTCGCAATTCTGACTTTATAACACACAATTGCGTGTTATAAAGTCAGAATTGTGAGATATAGGCCTAAACTCGCAATTGTGAGTTGTAAAGTCGTTGTAAGGAAAAAGACTGACTTTTTTCTCAGAATTGCGAGTTTATATCTCACAATTGTGACTTTATAACGCACAATTGTGACTTTATATCACGCAATTCTGACTCTTTTCTCACAATTACGACTTAATTTCACGCAAGTCTGAGATAAAAAAGTAAAGTAAAAAGATGTAAACTCGCAATTGTGAGAAAAAAAGTCAGAATTGTGAGATAAAAAGTCGCAATTACCTTTTTTTATTTTTCATTCTGATGATGCCGTGTGAATTGGCTTTTCTGGATAATTTTGGATAATTAAAAAATTGGGTTTGAATGAATGATTCAATGACTCGCTAATAAAGATTCACTTATTCCATTACTGAATGAATCGGAATTTTTGAGCACATCTTTTGAATGAATGATTCAATAAGTACATCTGTCACTTGTCGCCACCTACTGGTGTAACGATGTAATTGATACAATCTTTATTTTTAGCGTCAAGTTACTTTCAAAAGGTGATTTACTCTATTTTGATCGCTACCATAGACATCAAACCATAACCTGTTATTCCCAGTACTTCTGTGAAGATTTGAATTACTGTTAAAAAGACTGCTCTCTCTTCATCTGTTCTCATCGTTCATCAGCTGAAAAAGAAATTGTTCTGAAAGTGATTCCAGCAATATTCCTCTGTGCCGTTATTGTTATAGTTGTGGTGTGTTATTCTTTTACTTTTAGAACAATTTTTGTAGAACCGTATCATTATTTTTATACTGTATTGTTAACCTTGGTGTGAACGGGCCTTTAATGATGAATCGTTTTGGTTTTGGATGAAATAATTTAATTGAACTATAAATATATCTTCTAGTCTATAATATGATGTATTTCTCTGGTTGAATAAACCGACTGACTTTGTAAATAAATCTTTGATCCCACTTCCAGATCATTGACAGCGGTCGGCTCATGGTCTCCACGAAGTGCGGGCACCTTTTCTGCAGTCAGTGCATCCGCGACTCTCTCAGCAGAGCTCACAGCTGCCCTACATGTAGAAAGAAACTCACACAAAAACAATATCACCCAATATATATCTAATGGTAAGACGAGCAACTCGCTGAGGTCAGCGTCTCAACCTCTGCAGTACGTTCTCTGCAGTCCATTCAACTGTACACGTCTATGTTTTCACTGGCTGTTTCATATTTGACACATCAGTGCCGAGATGATAGGCACAACAACAGAAAAAGACGACCTTGTGTGATTTTGTTGGAACTGAAAGGGCACTTAGTCTAGGATTAAGTATTTTTAAATTGTGAATACAAACACTGTTTTGAAGTTTAGAGGTATTGGGAATATAAACTGACATTGGGTAGTCTGGGTTTGAGGTCTTGGCTGCTATAATAATATTTCCCCCCTTTTTCTTTTTTTTGGTCACTCAACTGCCCAGTTTTAGTATTGAGTAAAATGGTTAAAGTTAGGATCCAGTTTGAATGAAAAAGGAGTGACCAACCATCACAGTAGCATCTAGTAATGTTAGTTTAGTCTTGAGAAGAAAATGGCTCAGTGCTGTGGTGGTCTCAATTCTTGTTTAGTGAAATTGTCAGTGACATTTTTGAGCTTTTAGTGAATGGGGCGCATCGATGGACAATGAGGTCGCCCTTCCCTGTACCTGTACATTTATTTGTATAGCCTTGTTAGCTTTAACTGTCACTCACAGTTAACTTGTACTTCATTATCTCTTTATTTGATGGGAATTCATATTTAGATTTATTATTTGTCATTAAGTATGGTTACATTCAGATAAATACTTGAAGGGACAATGACTGCTGGTCAACACTGTAATGTGTCGTCCTGGTTGCGCTTTCATCTCAGAAGCACTTTTAAAATGATTATTTGCTGACCGGTTAGCAGTGGGTGACCAGGGATTGGAGCTAGCAAGGCTTGTTTGCCAACTATACATGTTAAATGTTGATATTTGTATATATTTTCATGTATAAAGGACCTGTAAGTTAAGAGGCGTTAGTATTGTTAAGACCATAACATTTATTTCAATAAACGTTTTGATCACTGATTGTGTACTTTATTTCATGGGGTTTTAGACATTTTGATAAATGCTGACAGACTTAATCAAACAGAACGGTTTCCTCATTTTAGGTAGCTAACAATAAGATTATCTGTATTTTACAAAGCCAAATAATAAACAAGATTGTTACATACACCTTGTGATGCACTCTTGGACACATCATCAGTGATAGTACCTGGGGTCATAGGGGGTTTCGGGTCTTTCAACTTCAGACCTCCTCACCCAGGCGACCCGACCGGGAGTGATCAGTTCCCGGCCTGTGTCCAAGAAGCGTTCGCCCACAGTTTGTCCCTCCTGATCCACAGCCATCGTGAGGCTTTTTCCGCAGCCTCTGAAGCTGCACTGATGGCTCTTCTCTTGCGTGCTCCTGTGATTCCCAGGAGGCTGTAGGCCCTGCAGAGTGACTTTCCTGCAAAGCCCCTTCCCCCAACCTCGATGGGCAAGCACTGAGCACGCCACCCCCATCTCCGACACTCCTCCACCAGCTCCGCATATTTCTCCCTTTTTCTTTCACTCGCTTCCTCCATCCTCTCCTCCCAGGGCACTGTTAGCTCCATCAAGATAACCTGTTTCGATGTTACTGAGAACAGAACCATGTCGGGTCTAAGGCTGGTCTCCACGATGTCTCGGGGGAACTTGAGTTGTTTTCCCAGGTGGACCTTCCCCAAGTGCTTTAGGACAGCTACTGAGGATGTGTTCCAGCGATCCTCTTCCCTGGCACAAGGTACATGCCGGAGTCTCAACCTTGCCCCAACAAAAGAGATTGGATGGACTGGGCAGGGTGTCACAGACAGACTGAATGAGAAATTTGATGCGATAGGGATCAGCCCTCCACAGCTCTGCCCATGAAATCTTTCTCTCCATGGCATCTTCCCATCTGGTCCATGCACCCTGTTGCCTCATTCCCACCATCTGACTTGCACGCTGCTCCTCGATCCCAGCCCTCACTTCTTTTTGGACCAGGTCCTGCCTTTCCTTACCCTTCAGTTTGTTGTAATGGGTTGTTGGAGTACTTCCCAGTCCTGCACGACCAATAGCTACAGGACCCACCAGTTCCTTATGACGCAGTCGTGATAATGCCTGGTCCACCGCCTCATGTGCCCTCCACTTTCTGCCAGTCCTGACCTCAATACCAGCTTGAGATACTCTTAGGTCCTTGGAATCCCTGTACTGAAGCACCTCCCTTGCTCTGGTAACCATGAACTCCTCGCTAAGGCTGTTGATTGGTAGCGTTAGTTTGTTCTTTTTCCCGTAAAGGGCAATGCTGCTCAGACTTCTTGGCAAGCCCAACCACCGTTGCAGGTAATTGCTCACCCTCCTCTCAAATCCTTCCACGGTGGAAATTGGAAATTCATACACCAACAGTGGCCACAATATCCTGGGTAAGATTCCATGTTGGTATAACCAAGCTTTGAATTTCCCCGGTAAGCCTGACTTGTCAACTGTAGTTAGCCAGCTCTCCAGTTGTTCATTTGTTGCCCTGATGGAAGCGGCATCCTTTAGAGAGCAGTCAAAGGTTTTTCCAAGGCTCTTCACAGGCTTCTCTGTGACTGATGGGATTTGGGTACTTCCTAAGGAGAAGTGGAACTGGTCTGTTACCTTCCCTCTCTTCAGTACCATGGATCTGGATTTTTCCGGCTTGAAACGCATCCTCGCCCAGGTGGTTAAAATCTCTAAGCCCTGAAGAATCCATCTGCATCCTGGGACTGTTACAGTTGTTACTGTCAGATCGTCCATGAATGCCCTAATGGGGGGCTGACGGATTCCGGACTTTGTTTTGGAGCCTCTGCATTCCGGCTCAGCGGATTTGACCAGCATGTTCATGGCCAAGGAAAAGAGAATCACTGAAACAGTGCATCCAGTGATAATCCCCTTTTCCAGACGGTGCCGCTCAGATGTAACTTTGCCGGAAGTGAATCTCAGATTAAAGTTGTTATAATAATCCATTATGAGGATCTTGATGCTGCTCGGAACATGATGTCTCCCAAATGCCACCTCCACTAGCTTGTGGGGTATGGAGCCATATGCATTGGCTAAGTCCAGCCATAGTACAGCCAGGTTTCCTTTCCCCTCACAAGCCTCTCTAATCAGTTGTGTCACCACTCCACTGTGTTCAAGGCACCCGGGAACCCCTGGGATCCCTCCCTTTTGCACTGAGGGGTCGATGTACTGGTTCTTTAGGAGGTAGTCTGACAGCCGTTGTCGATCGTTGCCGGAAGTCAGATATTTTCATTTATAAAGTTTTAAATATGTATATTTTTACGACAAAACCGCACGGATTACCCTCATAAGGCCTTCGTTTATCCCCCTGGAGCCGGATGGATTACTTTTGTGAAGGATATATGCTCATTTTTGGACTTGAAGGAGGTGGACCCCATTGCTTCACATTATATCCACTGAAGGGTCTAAGACATTTTCTAAAATAACTGAAAATGTGTTCGTCTGAAACAAGATTGACATATGCATCTCGAACGGCTTGAGGGTGAGTAATGCATGGTTTAAATATCATTTTTGGCCGAACTATCCCTTTAAGACAACAAGAATGTCTTAAGGACAAAAAACTGACAAATGTCTTAAAATACAACACCTGGGCCCGTATTCCTAAAGAATCTAAGAATCCTTTTAGAAAACTCTTAATTTAGCTTAAAAACTTTTACGTAGGAGTCTTAGCTTAAGAGTGATTCGGGACCGATCTGAGAGCAACTCTGAGTAAGGAAAAGACAAAAACTCTCATCTTAGTGAGGAGGCGGGGCTGACCCCGTTGCTATGTATGACACAATCTTTTGAAGACTGTGATTGGTTGGTTGTCCAAGAAGGAAAAAAAAGCCATTTTAAGTATAGAGTTTACTCACACATGCACACACACACACGCACATTATTTTTATGTATATAAATCCTTTTTTTTACCTTGCTGTTAATTTGATTGGCTTAGAATGATAAAAATTGTTCCACTCTTTCCAATTACACTGATTGCTGTCTATTTAAGTGGTGGTTTGAATGTTTGTTTTGAAAACATGGATTAAAAAACAAGAAAGACGAGAAAGCCTGACTGGTCAGAAGAACCGTTGGGGCACCACATACTCTAAACTGATCAAAGATGGCGCCTGTGTGTTCGGCTGGCCGTCGGTCTCTCTTGTACTTATTGTTTTGGATATTTTTATGGATGTCTATCTGGGCCTCTAATTGCTGCACACGTCTGGTCTATGACCGACAGTTACTCTTGAACATTCGCACCTCTTTTATGGACTTTTATAAGGAGGATGTAGCGCACGTTTTTAATCAATCACACAGTAACACCACTACTCATACATTGGAATGTATCCGCCAGTGGCCGCCTATCATTTCACGGAGGAAACGCAGAAGGAAACGCGGGAGGCGGGGTGGACGCATCATCAGATTGAAAGCTACTGAAAGACTCAGGATCGATGCAAATCATATGTCGGACGGCGATTTCGTCGCCCGGCGACCGCGAGCGCTGGCTCATCGGTGGCTCCTATCTATCACTCCCCCGCGATCTTCGCCTGTCCATATGGTTGGCTTACCTCGGGTTGGCAGTTGTCATCGGCAAAACGGTGTGAATCCCGGAAATCTACGTTCTTTGAAGAAAGGCGGAGCTTTCCCCGATGTGATTCATCCGCCCAAAATGGCACTGATCAACGCCAGATCCGTGGTCAACAAAACCTTCCTGCTCAACGACTTCTTCTCCTCTCATTGTTTGGATTTCATGTTTATCACTGAATCCTGGACTACGGTTGGTGACCTAACCCCTTTTTCAGAACTAGTTCCTAATGACTGTTCGTTTTTCAACACCCCCCGTCCGAACAGACGAGGGGGCGGGATTGTGACTATTTTTAAAGACTCATTCTCTGTGCGATGCCGGCCGGTTCCTGTCAGTGCTTTTTCAAGTTTTGAAGCGCAACTACTTCATTTAGACTGGAATGGCCCTATTTTAATAGGGGTGATTTACCGTCCACCAAATTCACTTAAGGACTTCATTCAGCAATTTACAGAATTCATTGGTAATATCACCACAACCTATGACCGCTTTTTATTGGTGGGTGATTTTAATATCCACGTTTGTTGTCAATCTAATACTCTCTCAAAGGACTTTCTAAGCCTTATTGAATCTTTTAACCTAGTCCAGTGGATAAATGATTCCACTCACATGAAGGGTCACACATTGGACCTTGTGCTTTCATATGGGATGGTGATTAGTGAGGTTGTAATATCTGATTTTATGCTTTCGGACCATAAGCCAATTTTATTTTCTACATCTCTTCCTTGCATTGCTCAAACCATCAGTGAAGATGTAAGACTATCTAGATCATACTCTCCTCTTTTTGTCTTAAATTTTAACGAGCACGTTATGAATTCCTCCACACACTTGCTTCTGAATTCTCCACTAGTGGAACTGGATGCTGACCAACATCTCGGTCTGTTATACTCCACTTGGTTAAATGCCTTAAATGAAACTGCTCCGCTTAAGCCCTACAAACCTAAACCGAAATCTGAACCAAGGCTCAACGTGGATATTCGGCGAATAAGACAAGCTAGCAGAAAGGCTGAGCGCAAATGGAAGAAGGACAAGCTACATATTTCACTTCAGTTATTTAAAAACAGCCTGTCAACCTACCAAAATGCTGTAAAGGCGGCAAGAGCTGCGCACTTCTCTGACATGATTATGGCTAACCACTCTAGACCAAAGGTTTTATTTTCTGTTATAAACTCGGTTTTAAACCCTCCGGCAAATGTATTGAATGATGTTTCGGATGAGCTATGTGAGCGTTTCTTGAGATTTTTTATTGACAAAATATCTAACTTGAGATGCAATGCCAGCCGCTCTGCAACTAGTCAGTTGATGAATTCTGTTACCTGGGATGCTTTCGAGCCAATCACTCTGAATCTCCTCAAAGAAATTATCACTAAGATAAAACCTTCGTACTGCTCTCTAGACATCATCTCTCCTAAGTTTCTTAAATTGATTATCGATTCAGTAGGACCAGGATTGGTGTCCTTTGTTAATAAATGCCTCCTTACCGGCTCTATCCCTGCTGCCCTCAAGGAGGCCACTGTCACTCCTTTGCTCAAGAAGCCTTCACTGGATCCTACCGTGTTAAATAATTTCCGTCCTATCTCTGTTTTGCCTTTTGTCTCTAAGGTGTTGGAAAAAGTTGTTCTTGACCAACTCCAGCCCTTTTTAAAATGCAATGATATCTCTGAAAAATTTCAATCTGGTTTTAAGTCTGCTCACAGTACTGAATCTGCTCTGCTGAGAGTGTTAAATGACATCTATCGCTCCACTGACACTGGTGACTCTGTGGCTCTTGTCCTTCTTGATCTGTCGGCAGCTTTTGATACTATCGACCACTCTATTTTGTTATCCAGACTAGAATATGATGTGGGGCTAAAAGGTGTCGTCCTCCAGTGGTTCCAATCTTATCTTTCGGGTCGTACTTTCAGAGTAAAGCTAGGAAATTGCTCTTCGTCTGCTGCGCATCTAACCTGTGGCCTTCCTCAAGGTTCTATTTTAGCGCCTTCTCTCTTTTCCCTCTACATGTTACCACTGGGCACCATTCTAAGAAGACATGGGGTATCTTTTCACTGTTATGCAGACGACACCCAATTGTATGTTCCAATCAAGAGAAATGATCCCACTGCCCTTTCATCATTGTTAGGTTGTCTGGATGAAGTAAAATTTTGGCTGGATCAAAAATTTTTGTTTTTAAATGAAAACAAAACAGAGATCATTGTTTTCGGGTCCACTGGTAATCCCCAGGCTGTTACCTTTGACCTAAGCAGACTAGCGGCATTTCGTTCTGCAAGTGTGCGGAATTTGGGCGTTTGTCTGGATGAGTCTTTAAATTTTGAAAAGCACATCTCTTCTGTAATAAGCTCTAGTTTCTATCACCTGTGGCTGTTGTCAAAAGTCAAACCTTTTCTTAATCACAAAACTCTTGAGATGGCTGTTCATGCTTTTATCACCACATGTGTAGATTACTGCAATTCACTTTACTGCGGTATCTCGAAAACGCAAACAGCTCGTCTTCAACTGGTGCAAAATGCCGCTGCAAGATTCCTCACTAATAGTCGTAAAAGTGACCACATCACCCCAATTCTGAGGTCCCTTCACTGGTTGCCCATTCATTTCAGAACTGAGTTTAAAATCCTGTTATTTGTGTACAAAGCTCTATGCAACCAAGCGCCTAGCTACCTAACTGAACTGCTTCAACCTTACACGCCGTCAAGAAGTCTGAGATCAGGTGGAAAAAATCTGTTACAAGTCCCTCAATGCAGACTTAAACGTAGAGGGGAGCGAGCCTTTTCTGTGGTTGGGCCTCGGCTGTGGAACAATTTGCCCTTGGACGTTCGGATAGCCCCTTCTGTGATTTCTTTTAAGTCACTTTTAAAAACGCACTTGTTCTCTTTGGCCTACAAATAAGGTGCATGTACAGGTATATATATGTGTATATGTGTACATATATGTGTGTGCATGTATCTATATATATGGGTGTATATATAGATATATTTATAATTTTTTTTTTTTTTTTTGTCTATTCTATATTTCTCTCCTTCGAGTATGATACTAGTTTAAAACCTGTTACTGTCTTCTCTGTTTTATTTTCTACTACTGATAGTCTCTGAGACTTCTTGAAGGTCTCCCGTTTTAAGCTGTTCTTAACCTGTTGTACTGTTCTATGATGTGCTACTACGCATGGTGTTGGTGTCTTTTAATTTTGTAGTTCTGTGAAGCACTTTGGTCAGTCAGTGGCTGCTATAAAATGTGCTATATAAATAAAAAAATAAAAAAAATACAAAAACCGTGTTTACTGTTAGCCGAGTTAGTGGATGAACACTAGGCCGTCCTTAAAGGAAAATTCGGGCAGGCTGTCACAGCATGGAGCGAGAAGTGGACGTGGGAGCTTATAGCGCACATTATTAACGGTTCATTCCCCTGCTTGTGCGCACCAGGGAAGCCTGCTATATTCATAAATACAGTTTTTTGAGCCTGCAAGGTGGGAATGTCCAGTGGAAACTAAATGAACTGCGACACAATAAGAGGTTCTGAAAGTGCTGTAATGTTTGTGTGATCACTGCTTACAGAAGGTTGTCACAGACCCAAATCACTATTGCTTTATTGCATTTTCCCATTTGCCAAATATCTTTATGTAGTGATCATTTCTGGCGTTATGGCATTCCTGCGCTGTGTCGGAGATATTAGCGTGTCTCTAATAAGATCAGTCACAAACATGATCACTGCACAATCTCATCTATAGCGTCTTATTAACTCACTGTCGTCATCTATTGTCTGCATCACATTTCTTCTCCCTCTTCATCGTTCTATCGTTCTGTCATTTTCTCCTCTGCTAAAGAAACTCTTAAGCCTCTTAAAAGTCCTCATCCATACTCCTAACAATTTTGACCTTAAGACCTCTTTTAAGGGTTAAGATGCTTTCTGAATTACTTTTTTCTTTACTAGGATTTTTTCTTTTCTTTTAAGAGTAAACGCCCACATTTCTAAGAATTTTCTTAGAATTTTGTCACTAGGAGCTACTTTTTACATTAAGATTCTTTAGGAATACGGGCCCTGGGCAATGTCTTGAGGTGTGCCAACCATAGTGTAGGCGGAATAATTGACTCCGGTCCGTTGAATTATTAGAAAATAATGCACACGCAAAGGTGAATTTTCGAATAATTCAACGGCCTGTTGTCAATTAATCCTTTTTTATTTATATACTATTATAGAATGTAATATGTTGTATTATCTATTTTATATTTTAGGTTTTCATTTTGAATTTTTTTGTCATTTTGGTGTGTGTGTGTGCATACAGTGCAGGGTAGTAACTAATTATATGTAATCTGGATTATGTAATCAGATTCCAAAAATGATATACTTAATTATATTATATTTTAAAATACTCATAATCAGACGACAGTTAGATTTTCGTTGATTACATGATATTTACTAAATGGCAGGAACTTATTCATAGTTTAATTTGATTCTCGCTCAGTTTTTTTTTTTTTATCCTTTGGATTGTCCTTTGTATAACAGCCTATTGCTTATATACTGTATGTTCAGAGAAAGTCTTCCAGTGTTGTGGAATTACATAAGTCTGAGGCCACACAGCATTACAAATACAATATTTCATCTTTTTTGTTTTATTTTGATTTCAAAATCTTACATTTTATGGTTTAATCAATACCTATTTACCTTAACTCGCTGCAGTTTCTTCACAAACCCCAGTTTGGGAAACCCTGATGTAATGTAAAGTTTAATGCACTTAGTTTTGTTGATGACAAAAAAATATATACTAATTACATAAAATAAACTCTTTTTTGTATCACTGTAGTACAATATTGTCCTATTCAAATCTATGTGATAAACGAGTTAGGTCAAAAGTAAAGTAATCAAAAAGTAGTCAGACGTTACCTAAATTTTGTATTGTAATATATTACATTACTAAGTACCGTTTCATAATTAAATCTGTATTCAGAAATGAACTACAATTCATAAGTAAGTAATCTACCCAGCACTGTATATATTAACTTTTTAAAATAGTTTAGTTAACAAGAACAACACTACCTTTTGTACACGTTTCATCTTGACAGTATCGGAATTCACCACAAGATGGCGGCACGTGTTCATAAATAAAAAGCAAGTTTTGCAAGTATTTGTTGATCGCTGGTTTGTAGGCTTTATTCTCCCCAGCTGAGGGCAGTGATGAGCCCAGTTTGGATGAGCTGTGTTTGTTCTGGGACTTTTGCTGGAATTATTATTTTTTTACACTTTATAAGTCCAAAAACAAATTGTCTTCATTAAGTATATTTAAATGTGTGCAGCAACATATGTGCATAATTGTACAACATTGTCAACAAAGTACAAGTATAACACACATATTTACATTAGATGAATATGTGTACGGTACCACATGTGCCCAGGATCTGCATAAGAGTATAACGACAAATTTAAAAACTTCCCCACACTGATGAGAAGGTAAAATAGCCAGCTGTGAGATATTATTCCAGTCTCTCTAAAGCTTTGTTTACTGAGGGTCTCTCATGTTAAGACACTTTTAGTGTTGTTTGCAGACTTTAGTTGATACTATCACTTAGGCCACTCAAAGTCTTGTGCTCGCTAGTGTGATTGGGTGTGTAATTATTTTTATAGGTCTTTTAGAATGTCAGACAGTTGCAAATTACATTTGTTCAGGTCAATTTTTCAATTGGATTTAGAACGTGGTAAAATTATGTTTTGCTGTTAAAATTGTGATTCCAGTTCTTCACAGCAAATTTATAAATATATGATATAATACAAATAGCCATAATAAATAATATAAATATTAAGTAATATATTATTTTTATTTAGTCTATTCTTCTTCTTCTTATTATTATTATTATTATTATTATTATTAAAGAGTTAAACAGTGAGAGTGAATTGGCTCGCTGTGATTGGTCTAAAGTTGGCCGTAGGGCTGGACCGTCTCACACTCCTCAGTGTGTGTGTGTGTGTGTGGCGTGTGTCTGGACTGCAGAATATTTAGTTAACGGTATTTCAAAAACCGCTTTGATACAAATGTCGGTGCTGTAAATAATTTGTTTTGTGTGTTTTGTTATCAGACGAAAGTTGGAGATGAAGTCGCTGTGATTTGAAGTGCTTGCGCGACACAGCGCGCGGTGACTGTCATCAACAGAAGTTTACGGCGATCAGCGCGTGTATTAAAAAGTGTCGCGCGAAAATACATGACGTCAGAGCGTTCAGGAATACAGTTGCGCGAATCCACTGGATCCAGTGTTGCGTGCGTGAGGATATCTGACGTAGCGCCCAGTGTACATTGGCATGATTTGTCTGGAGTGTTTTAGCTGGATGTAAGCATGATATTTTATCTATCAGTCGCGAGGAACAGATTTATCAACGCTTTCAGCTTTTGGTAAGTCTTGTATTTTTGACTTGGAATATTTTATTGCATGTTTTATGTTTTAAAATGTACCTTTTACCCACTTGAAACCGCTTTTTTATGGACATGTGCTGGTTATTGTATGAATCAAATATATCCTTGCTTCAAGTTGTGATGTGTTGTGATTTAACTGAAACTTTATAAGACAGCTGAAGTTGTGTTGGAATTGTAATTCAATCCTACACACGTTTACAACGGTGCAGCAGAAGTTCACTAGTTTTGGCATTGCACTGGTATTTTAGATTCACCAGTTCTTGTTATCACTAAAATATTTATTTCTTTTGTAGATTGAAGAACCAGAGAGCTTTAATAGGGACATCATGGAACTCTTTTGGATTGTTTTCTTAATTTTTGACATTATTTTCATAACAGACTGCGCTAGAGGTGAGTAAAAAATATTTGCCCTTGTAAAATGTCTGGGGGGAAAACGAAGCCATTACAGCACACTCGTGGTAATTGCTACATGTAAAAGAAATTTAATTACTATTATTTTAATTTTTATTGATTAAATTATTAATCAATTCACATTTTAATATCCTTGGTTGAACTCTTGGCTGGCAACTTTATACATAAAAAACACGGGAAAGGGTTAATAAACAATTTAGAAGTAATTTTGGCACAGGTTGAGTTTATGAACGTAATATTGTTGTTCTTTACAGTCACTAAATAGTCACATGCATGTCATGTGTGCTTGTCAATATGCTCAAGATGTATATTAAAAAGTGTAGTAAAAATATTTTAAGCTTATAAGGTAACAAACATTTTAGGCATCTAAGTCCACCGATGTTTAATAAATTCATCAAGTAATGTGCTTTAAAACCTATCCAAAATGTCAACTTTAATGTTCAAAGATTGACAAGAATCAATCAGCTGCTTTTATTATTATTATTTTTTCAACCTTAATGTGACTTATTGGTCTTTATTTGATGTTAGATTTAACTGCAGTATGTTTGGTATTATGTTCCCTATGAAAAAAAAGAAAGAAAATAAATCACTTTCCAGGTTCAGTTGTGATGGTTCAGTTGACTCATTAATCAGATGTGATATTCTATTGATATGCTAAACGTGATTTAAAACCTGATTTTAAATGATAGCCTGAAAACTAAATCTAAATTCAGTCCATCTCTTGCATTTACTGAGTTGAAACGCAATGCCCTGGACTTTAAAGGATTCCTTTAACCTGTCTATTGAGTTCAGGACCAGATTGAGAGCTTGAGACTTTCAGGTTGTGTCACTGGCATTGTTTGCTGAAAGCAGTCCTCTCGCAATAGCTGTTCTCCGTTCTTCCTTTTGGACTGAAATGAACCATCATTTCCATTCAGAATGGGTTGAATGGGGGCCGGGGCCGCTGATGGGCAGATAGTACAGCTCACTGCCTCCACTCCATCAGGGCTGCATGTGAAGCGTGATGGAGTCTCCCTTTAGCGTTAGCGTACACCTCAGACTCAACAGCCTGTCACCGGAGCTGGCGAGAGAGAGAGAGAGAGAGAGAGAGCGAGAGCGACGTCTGTGTAGATTGCATCTGTGAGGGGCCCTGAACAATGTGGCATTCACGGTCACATAGCCCTGGCCTTCATGGAGATGCTTAGCCAAAAGTAAACAGAAATGCAGAAAGCAATGCGATTAGATTAGCCAATTATGTTTGTTTGCTGTGCAATACCTAAGGTGTTCCTCCCAAGCCAGACAGATTTGTGTTTGTAAGCAAATGCAGACAATTTGCCGCCTCGATCGTATCTGAGCCTCAAAGATGCGGGTGAAATATGTTGTTACACTTGTTACATAGAACGCGACTGATGGAACAATGAAGATTGTTCAATGATAGTTGCATTTGCTCATAAAGGAACCTTTATTTTTTAGAGCAGTTGAATGCTTGGGTTCAAAGATCTCAATCTGAGTGGAATTAATTGCCCTTAAAGGGTTAGTTTAGCTAAAAATTACAATTCTGTCATAATCTTTAAACCACAAATGAAGATATTTTAAATTTAAACCTGTGAGATTTCTATGGAAATGTGTTTCTGCCACAGAATAAAACATTTTGAAAGGTAATTGCGACTTTTTTTCTCACGATGTAAACTCGCAATTGTGAGGAAAAAAAGTCTGAATTGTGAGATAAAAATTCTTTTTTATTTTTCATTCTGTGGCAGAAACAAGATTTCTGTCCCTCCATTGAAAGATTTAATTTAGGTTTTTATTCCCGTATAAACATTGATTAACGCGCTTACATAGAGCACATCAAATGTGGTAAATGGAAGCTCAAACGTACTTGTTTGACACACCAGAACCAGTAAGATTTGTTCTCACGTGTCACGCACGCACGGTTGAGCTGCCGATGACCATATTTGATGTGAATAAAAGCCTGAATACAATCTGTTCATCACATAAAATGGTAATTTCTCTTGGATTAAAGACTTGGATTAAACCATTGATTCATATGTATTACTTTTACAATCTCTTTATGAATGTTTTGAACCTTCAGATTTTTGATGGAATTAACTTATAATGGTGGGACAAAAATCTCTCAGGTTTCCTTAAAAACTTCTTAATTTGTGGTTTGAAGATGACTGACAGTCTTATGGGTTTGGAACAAAATGAGGGTTAGTAAATAATGACACGATTTTTATTTCAGACCCCTTTAAATACTGAACCATCTGACAGAAGTGACATGAATGTTTTACTCTGTTTCTGCATTCACAAGCCATTTTATTTTCGACTTTATTTTCTCCATATGGAACTTTTGTTGTTGTTACAAACCAAAACAAAGCCTAGGTAGAATTGATTTGAAGTGTATTGGCTTTATTGGTGACGTCTGTGGAAAAGCTATTTCATCCAGATAAAAAAGGAAGACGCTTTTTTCACCTCAGATTTTCTTTGGAATAATGTGCACTGAGGAATCGTACACAGTAAAGCCAGCAACGTTCATTAAGAAAGTAAAGGATTTAGAATTTTGACATTAAAGTTTCTTTGGTGTTTTCTTTAGCATTTCCACTTTATTTGATTTACAAGATTGGAATAAGATTACAACAGTACTCCAGTTATTTGGGAGTGATAGCGCAGGACCTGTAAGATTGCTCTGTCCTTGACATCAGGGGAGTTCTTCACGTCAGATGACAAATATTTTCCGTTGTTAAAGGAAGTGTAGTTTGTGCAAGCGCTTCCAAAGAAACGTTACAGTTGTGCAGCCTTTGCTATGTTTACGGGTCCAGGCATTTCGAGTTAGAAGAATTAGCATCCGATTCCTTCCACTGGCCGCTTGTTCCAGCTGGCGATTTTTGAATGTACGTAAATGCAACATGCATCCAATCCCATCTGAATCACTTTCGACCCGTTCACCAGCCATGCCAGAAGCAGAGTTTTACAATCCCATGTGGAATTTCAACAATTTGTCCACAGGAAAAACCTTAAAGTGTGCAGTTTATATGATGCAATGGCCTTGTAGCTTGAATGGATATCATTGTGTGTAAGACACTGGGAGACTGTAATTAAGACCCTCAAGCCTTGTAAGTTACAGCTTCCCATTTTTGTTTTCTCAAATCATATCGATATGAATTATGTCCTCTGAAATGGATCAACATTTGCTCATACGATACGAAAATATCTTTGTGTGTGCTTGTATTAACAATGCAGAAATTGCTGTTCACGTTTTTACTCAAGAATTGGGCTCGTGTGTGGGTATTTTAGTAGGGTTGCAGGGATAGTAGAAGAGTGTTTTAGGAACATATGGCGAGCTCTGAAGATGGGCTGAAGTGTTTGTAGGCACACGCTGATTTGTTTACACTGATGTGGACCACCCTTGAAGCATATGTCGATACTCACTAAGATGTGTGGATCCAAAATCTCCAATGGAGCAAACAGTCAGATGGTCTGCTTGCAAAATAAACACCCTAATGAACTCCAATCTGAGGGTCATTAAATAAATCTCTGGAAAAAAATACTTAGAAAAACTAGAGTCGCAAAACCAAGTTAACATCTCCCCTTCCCCCTTTAATGTATCTTCTTTTTTTTTACCTTTTCCTTTTTTCCACCTCATGGTTTATCAGCAGCAAAACGTCCAGGAAGTTAATTTACTGTGTTTAAGAAACATGGTGTTACAGTTGGCAGCTCCATTCATCCCACTTAAATGTGTGTCAAAACAGTGGGTTGATTATCAGTTTTCCTTTATCCTAAAACTTCCTCTAGTCGTGCAGCATGAGTTACGGTCTAAACCGAAGTGCAGTCTAGTACCAATTAGATGGTTGAATGCATGGTTTACCGTGAGGATAACCGGTATAAGTAAAGAAGGCTGTAAATCTCATTTCCATTGAGGAAGACTCAAAGAATGGCTGTTAAGTGGGACCAATAAAGTAGTTATTGAAGTCAAATGGTGTTTACATAGTGGCCATTTTTGTGTCACCTACTCCCATTTGCAATAGACTGTGAGGGACATTCTTCTGTAATGAGGCGGAAAAATGGTTAGGGAACATAAATGGTGTCATTTGTTTTACCAGGACTCTGTATGAGATGCGGAAGTGCTGTATAACAGACCATGAAAAGAACAAATCAAATGCCTTTAGATCCAATTGAAATAGATGTTGGTTTTGCACAACTCATTTTAATTTATTCTTAATCAATTATTCAACTCTTTTAAAAATAAAAAGTGTATCAGTCAATCACTGACTATTTTGGTCAGTTATTTACTAAGACTTTTAGTAAAACTTTTTTTAAAGATACTTTCATTCAGCAAAATGCATTAAATTGTATACAGGAATACAGGAAATACATTTATAATGTGACACAATTATATTTTAAATATGCTGTTTTCATCATAAAGGAAAGGTCAAAAAAAAAAAAAAAAAAAATAGGTTTTTCACAAAAATATGAAGCAGCACAACTGTTTTCAACATTGATAACACTCTGCAAATCGGCAGTACTTAAAACAGACGACAACATTGTCAAAATGATCCCCATCCACACGGATCTGCGATAATGGCTAAAAAGGCTGTATTATGCATGCCAGGCCAGTAGTTGGCGATGTCCCTTTGTCTAGAAAAACCCCGCAATCATGTAATACGCCATTTTCACGAATTCACATTTTTGTGAAGACGGTATGGAGACGGTAAAGGCATCATTTTCACAACCTTGCACTTTGAAACCCATTTTTAAAAGCTTGCATTTCCGGGCCTCCAAAACGCTGTTGTCTTGTAAATGAATGGCCAAAATGCATGAAAAGTTTTTTTCTGTTTTCAGTTGAAAACGGTTTAGTGTAAAGATACCCTCAGAATGATTTCTGAAGGATCATGTGACACTGAAGACTGGAGTAATGGTGCTGAAATTATGCAGTTTAGTATCACGGGAATAAATTACATTTTAAAATATATTACAATAGGAAACAGTTATTTTAAATTGTA